TCAGTTTTCTTTGAAGGTTGCTCTGCATTTCTTACTTTCAGTAAGAAGATTCATTACCGAAGCATAATTCTTAAGTGAGCGTATTTTTCACCTAATGGTTAGACCCTAACCCTCTCAGAACTTGAATGCCTTGAGAATGGTTTCTTGTGAACTAATGTATACGCACTTCTAGAAGATTTTAAACGGAGAAGGATATCGGTCCAGTAATCTTTGTTTACCAGTTTTGTGGAAAATCATGTTTGTGATGAGAAATACTTTCACCGCAATTCTTTGAACAAAGCGGATACAAAATTGACCTATTTTTTAACCACCTTGCTTTACTGACTACTGATTGATATCTTACCACGTACTGTTTGATCTCTGGAGGGTAATGAGTGCTATGTTTTCTGATCCCAAATGCTTCAATTGTAGATTTCGCTGGCCTCGAGGATGTATCAGTTTCCTTTAGATTGCAGATACACCTCTTTGAATAGGACCAACGACAGAGAAAATGATGTTTAGTAAATCCTACTGAAAACATCCAGTTACTACACGTTATCATGAATTGGTGTGTGTAAGCATCACGAAGTGACAGAGTGTTTAAATGTCTGTTAATCTATTTGTTGGTTATATTTTACAGTAAAACTGGATTATTACTATCATCAAAAGCGTTAATAATCTGAACAATGGATTTTGTTACTAACCTCATCTAGTAAATAGTACTGTTCAATGCATCAAATCTTCAGCAAAATAACTGATGATGAATTATACACTATTATAGTGCCCCAGTTCAGTTCTCACAGCAAGGTGTAAAGTGACTAATGTTAGGTTGCTGCAAGATACTAAAAATCTAGAACTTCTTGCCAACTTCCTTCGAATGCATGAAACTGTTCATTTACTAGAGAGTATTTAGTGAATCTCATGTAACTTTTAATCCACGAGTATTTTTTATCATATAAGCAGCTTTTAAATTCCAGATATAATTGTCACGTTTTATAAAATCTGCATGTTAACGTAGTGCGGCTGAATAGAGTCAGCAAACTTGACTATATTATCATTATCATTCTTTGTCCCTTGGGTTCTTAGTGGAACATCAGCTTCAGTAGCATGTCAACATTTCACTCTCTTATCTCCAATCTTTACAACCTGACTCCACGACTCCCAACAAGCTTTCATTTCTTCCTCACATCATCTCCATGTCACTCTCACCTCGGAGGCCCAACTCATCGTTTCCTGTTTGCATTCCACTCGACGGCCTGACCTGATACTTGATGTCCACAAATGGTCTACTCGGTGTTTGTGCAGTCCAGTTCAATGCAATCCATCTCCACTCCCTTCTACATATTCGTTTGGGGATGGGTTCTTGGTTGATTGGTTGCCAGCCAGCCAACCAGCCAGCCAGCCAGCCAGCCAGCCAGCCAGCCAGCCAGCCAGCCAGCCAGCCAGCCAGCCAGCCAGCCAGCCAGCCTGCCAGCCAGCCAGCCAGCCTGCCAGCCAGCCAGCCAGCCTGCCAGCCAGCCAGCCTGCCAGCCAGCCAGTCAGCCAGCCGGCCAGTCAGTTAGTCAGCCAGTCAGTCAGAGTTCATTGTTCCCTATTCTTTCTCGTCAACCATCTGATCTCAGCTTCACTATCGAGAGAGCGTACGTGGCAGCTGTTGATGTTCGTCTACAGTTTTTTTTGAGGTGTTTTTGTGACATGCCAAGTCTCTCAACCATCACATAGAACCACTGACTTACTTGACTGATATAAGTTTTCAAAATCCTGAATTTGTTCATGCTTTATGCTGAGTGAAGTGGAGTAAAGTGCAGTGCAGTGTAGTGGATTAGATCTCCACAGTGAGGATTTCAGATAAACGAAGGAAGACCTGTCTTGCTATCTTTCCCATCCCGGTTGCTCTGACATCCTCATGTGTGTTTGTGCTACCGCCTGTACTTGGGACGATGCTGCCTGGGTATGTAGGTGAAAGATTCAACTTACTTAAGATTTCTCCCATTGATGGTGGTTCAAACTTGTTGTTGTTGTGGTTGGCAGAACACCTTCATCTTCTCTATGTTTATCTGAAGGAAGTCTCATTTTTGCTGCAATACCTCTTCTGACATCTTTTTAGCATCCCCTGTAGATAGTAGAGGTTATTTGATGAGATGGAAAGTAGTCTAAGCGAATGTAACTGAGTTTTCCGTCAATTGACAAAATGATGTTTTATTGACGCCATCATTGTTAGAGAATGTGTATAAACCTGATTTTCCAAATACTGGTAATGGTAAATTTTTCTTTTTATATATCCTTCAGTTTTAACATTACATTACTTATGGGTACGAACCAGAAACTTTCAGCATATTCTATATTTTTCAGGTCTTAATTCATTAGTTACTCAAAGAAAGACAAGTAATTTTATTATCAATAAACAAATAAGATTTTACCGCACCCATGTGAATGTCATTTACCTTTCCAAATTTCCTCGTGGATAAAGTTGTGAGCAAAACAGTCAGCCACTTCTAATTTACTGTTCTACATTCAAGGGGATTTCACGCATCACTGCTGCATCATTTATTTTGATTACTTCACTAGCAACTGTCATAGGTAGACTGTAGACATTATTTCGCAGACAGATTAGATCCAGCGCGTATTATTTTATCATAAACCAGGATCTAGTTTTTACAGAATAAAGCACATTTACGGTGTGTCAAAGTTGACTTCAACTTTTTAAATCAACATTAAAGACTCCATCATCATCTTAATACACGATATAAATTCAAAGACTGTTTTTGATTAAAATTTCTATTGTAATCCTATTTACTATAACAATTCAAACTGTTTGCACCAAGAGAGAGGTTGAATCATGAATGTGTTTTAATTAGGTCATTTTAAGAATTCAGTCATTTATTTTGATATTTTCTTGAAATAATGTATTCAGGAATACACTTACTACATGGCTTACAATATGTCGAGTGACTCATGCTATGTACTAGAAATTTTAAGTGGTACCAGTCACTTCAACCGCTAGACCAAGTGGGAAATTATTTTTTTTCCCTTCTTTTGAGTTTGAAAGTGCTAAGAAACCATTAATTTGATTGACAAATTATCATACAAAACCTGAATTTTAAAAGATTTAGCTGTTGTAGTGAGAGAGATGTCAGTAAGATCAGAGGATGGAGAAAGGTGAAGTGTTTTGGAAGAAAAAGGGGCATGAGAAGCGATGCAGGATTTTAAGTATTTACAATAACATTAATGACCTGACACAGATAGTATGTAGGATATGAAGATTTACAGAAGAAAATTCGCAGACACGAAATTTAAATGGTCAGTGAGACATGAGTACATTTGTAGAGAACGTAGAGTGAATACTTTAGTCATATTATTGGAACTCATCAACTGTTAATAACGAATTTTTCTAGAACATAAATAAGGTGGGATACATTATGTTTTACATTCTAGGCCAGCATATAGTGATATAATTTATTCGTATAATGAATTGATTAAGCCATTGTTAAATTCCTTCAAGCCTAGTGGTATTCCGCTGACACCACACGTGATAACAGAATGTAGTTGAGGTTCCTTTGTGCATATTTGATCATTAAGTCAACTATGAACCTCGCCTGGTTAACTAGTTTACTAGTTACTAGCCGGTCCTAAGCCCGGGTAAAGAGGGAAGGTTGGGCATAGGGCTAGCAACCCTACCCCGTAAAACAAATCTAACCGCTAAAGAAACTTCAAAGCACAAACAAAATATAAAAAATGAAAACAAACTTATTCCCCGCTGGAATCGGAGAGGCGAAATGACGCCAGTTGGTGAAAGCCTTCGGGAAGCCAATTGGCCGATGTGTCTTCTCTCGATGAAAGCGAAAGTAAACGTGGGGACATGGAATGTCCGCACGATGTTTGAACCCAGTAAGGCAGCCCAGATTGCAAGGGAGATGAGAAGGTATAACATCGAAGTGCTTGGGATTTGCGAAAGCAGATGGAATGGGAGTGGACTCTCCAAACTGTCAACTGGAGAATCAATAATCTACTCCGGTCACCCAGACGCCAACCACGAGCACACTGAGGGAGTGGCTATCATGATGTCCTCAAGAGCATCGAAGGCTCTCATGCAGTGGGAACCAATCTCCTCCAGGATCATGACAGCAAGATTCAACTCAAAAGGAAGAAAGGTCACAATCATACAATGTTATGCACCTACAAATAATGCAGAGCAAGAGAAAAAGGAGGATTTCTACAGACAACTTCAATCAACACTGGACAAGACGTCAGTTGGCGATATCAAAATTCTGATGGGCGACATGAATGCCAAACTGGGAGGGGACAACACGGGAAGAGAACTAACCATGGGTCGAGAGGCGCTAGGTGAAATGAATGAGAATGGAGAATTGTTTGCAGAATTCTGTGCATTCAACGATTTGGTGATTGGAGGCAGTGTGTTCAGGCACAAAGATATCCACAAAGCGACATGGATTTCACCAGATGGACACACTAAAAATCAAATCGACTTTATCTCAATCTCAAGAAAATGGAGACGCAGTCTACTTAACACAAGGTCAAGAAGAGGAGCAGATGTAGGTTCAGACCACTACCTAGTGCAAGGAACCTTCCAAATCAAGTTAAAAGCCTTCAAGGAAGCTGGTGATAGACCTCAACTCAAGTACAACACTCGGAAACTGAAGGATGAAACTACAAAGGAGATCTTCAAGGCAGCCATCAAGACAAAATGGGAGACATCGAGCAACATCCCTGAAGAAACCTGTGTGGAAGAACACTGGAAGTCTTTGAAAGCTATGTGGAAAGAAACCTGCACAACAGTATTAGGAAGGAAGAAGGTGGAAGACAAGGAATGGATCTCGACGGATACCTGGAAGCTGATAGAGGAGAGGAGGATGGTGAAGCAGAAGATAAACCAGTGCAAGGATGCTCAACGACAAGAGGAACTGAGCACAATGTATAAAACACTGGACAAAGAAGTGAAGAAGAGTGCACGCAAAGACAAAAGACACTTCTACGACACACTGGCAAGTGAAGCAGAACAGGCTGCAGGTAAGAGAGACCTGACGACATTGTATCAAATAACCAGGTTGCTATCAGGGAAGAGACCAACACAGATGAAACCAATAAAAGATGAAGAAGGAAATTTAATTACGAAAGAAGAGAAACAGAGGAAACGATGGGCCGACCACTTCAAGAAGCTCTTGAATCGACCACCACCTGCACTTCGTCCAGAAATACCACCTGCAGCCGCTGAACTACAAGTGAACATTAATCCCCCAACGAAAATGGAAGTCCTGAACGCCATAAAGCTACTGAAATGCGGGAAAGCAGCAGGACCAGATGGAATACCGCCAGAAGCACTGAGAACAGATGCAGAGACAACAGCGGACATGCTCACACCACTATTGCAGAAGGTGTGGAAGGAAGAGAAGGTACCTGACGATTGGAAGAAGGGTTACCTTGTCAAACTGCCGAAGAAGGGAGACCTCAGTGCTTGCAAGAACTGGCGCGGAATCACTCTCCTGTCCACCCCAAGTAAAATATTAAGCCGCATCATCCTAGAGAGGCTTAAAGACGCACTGGATTCAAAACTGCGACCGGAACAGGCAGGCTTCAGGAAGTACAAATCATGTGCAGACCAAATTGCAACGCTTCACTACGCATCATCATAGAACAGAGCATAGAATGGCAATCAGCTCTCTACCTCAACTTCATCGACTTTGAGAAGGCCTTTGACAGCGTCGACCGAGAAGTAATTTGGAAACTGCTTCAATACTACGGAGTACCGCAAACCTTTATCCGCCTCATTCAACAACTATATGAAGATGCCACATGCCAAGTAATCCACAATGGGAAGCTCAGTGATGCCTTTGAAGTGAAGACAGGAGTGAAACAAGGTTGCCTACTATCCCCCATGATATTCCTTATTGTGGTGGACTGGATCATGCAGCAAACAGTAGGCAGCGAGAAGAGGGGGATACACTGGACGACGGAAAAGAACCTAGAAGACTTGGATTTCGCCGATGACTTATGCCTAATGTCACACAAACTTGAAGATCTGCAGGCAAAAACTAACAAGTTGATAGAAGAGGCAGCTAAGACGGGACTTCAGGTGAATATAGAGAAGACAGAAGTGATGAAGATACCGCACCACCATCATCAACAACAACAACAAACTCCAATCACCGTCAACGGGAGAAACTTAAAGGAAGTAACCTCCTTCACTTATCTAGGAAGCACTGTTTCAACTACAGGCGGGACGGACGAGGACGTCAAAGTCAGAATCGGAAAAGCAAGACAGGCGTTCATTAGCCTGAAACCAGTGTGGAGATCTTCTGCACTCAGCATGCGGAACAAGATACGGATTTTCAACACCAACGTCAAGTCAGTGCTCTTGTATGGCTCAGAGACTTGGCGCGTCACGAAAGGTATTTCCAATAAACTACAGACATTCATCAACAACTGCTTACGCTCGCTGCTGAAGATCAGATGGCCAGAAAAAATAAGCAACAAGGAACTCTGGGAACGAACCAACCAAGAACCTATCACGCAACAAATATGCAGGAGGAAGTGGAGATGGATTGGCCATGCACTGAGAAGGCCGACGGAGGACATCACGCGTCAGGCCCTCGAGTGGAATCCCCATGGGAAGCGACGAGTTGGACGTCCGAGGGTGACATGGAGGAGGTCGTGCGAGCAGGAAATGAGAGCTTCTGGGCTGTCGTGGGACCAGGTTCAAAAGATCTCAGAGAACAGAGGTCACTGGAGGCGTGCTACTGAAGCCCTATGTTCCACTAGGAACCCAAGGGACTAATAATAATAATATAATAAAGTCAACTATGAAAAATATGCCAGAGATTTTGTGAAAGTTTGATGCATATGTAGGAAAGTGTTCTATTTTATACAACTGCAGATAATCGTCTATGAATAGTTTTCAATTTCTTCCATTCAAGTGCACATGCAACGTCAACGTTAACAGCTATTGACATCGTTATTACCTCCTTTAAAAGACAGAAGATTTAACCACTATTCAATGGTTGGATTTGTCTTATCAATTTTCATTCAGTATACTTTGAGCTCACAAAACATTTCTTCTTTTCTTCAGCTCACACTTTTATGAATTATAACCGTATTGTTCAGTAAGTTTGCCGCTGGAAAGAGTTTTACTTTAATCCTGAGCCAAATTAAGTGTAAGATGTGCAAATGTTGTTTGTGCTGAGTTTATTTATGACTGCCTGTCTTGATAGATGAATGCATTATATAACGAAGCACATTTTCGATAACTTAAGTAAATTCGGAAGCAGTAGTGATATTAATTGTAGTAATAGCATATTTTAAAATAAATATACCAATAAAAAACTATGAATTTATTTGTTCTTTAGATGGTTCGGTTATCGTTTGAAAGTCTATGGAGATAAAATTGATTTCAAGATGGTTGACATCAAAAGCTCAGATCGTGTGTAGAAATGTTGAAAATATAGGAGCAGTAGACCGGGATTCTGTCGTTAAATTCCACTTCTCAGCAGTGTCCAACAAAGACAGCCTCAGGGATTAATCATTTTTACCAGTAATATGCTTCGCTTTCACTTTTTGTGAGGACTAAACTGTGAACAAACGTTCAGAAGCTTAGATAGGTCTTTTGATCCTCTACATACATTTGAATTGCATCTAATATCTTCTCTTAGGTATATAAATTTAAGTTTGAAGGGGTTGTGTAATACTTTTGTGGTCTTTTTCACTTGTATGAAATATCTTTTCAGATAATATTAAGCCTGCTATAGCAACAGTCCATCGATACTAACTGTAGCAATAATAGACAACGGAACAATAACCCATAAAATTCATCCATAACCAAAAAAACAGGTAAGAAGATGGTAAAGAAGCAGGAAGCGTAAGAATGTTTTCATTTTATATTTCTAGCTTCCTGTGAAACTGAACCATAGAATTTATATTTTATAGAATTTTATTAACCATACCAAAAGAATTTGAAAAGTCTAATGCCTATCAGATACTAAATGGTTCTGCAAAATATATGCAACAGATTTAAGAATAATTTGTTTCCAGTGAAAATTTCAAACCTAATAAAGATTTATGCAAAATAAGTATATCGGGTAAGAAGTAAAATCTTTCATATATTAACAATAAAGATATTCGAAACTATTTTATTACTGTAAGCTAATTTATGACTGAGTAATCAACACTACGGAGTACCACAAACCTTTATCAACCTCATTCAATAGCTATATGAAGACGATACATACCAAGTGATTCACAAGGGAAAGCAATTCAGTTATGTCTTTGAAGTGAAGACAGGAATAAATCAAAGTTGACGTATACTATCACTAATTATCTTCCTGATTGTGGTGGACTGGACTGGACTGGACTGGATCATGCAACAAACTGTAGAGGGCGAGAAGAGGCAGGATCGATGAAAAGACCTCAGAAGAAGATTTGAATTTCACTGATGATGATGATTTATGTTTAATGTCTCGTCGCACAAGCTCGAAGATCTACAGGGTATGCTAACAGGATGGCAGAAGAGGCATTGAAGCAAAAACGGGACTTCTTTCAGATGAACGTGCAGAAGACATATTGTCTTAGTTCATTACTTAACACTTTATTTGCTAACTCAGCATGTTTTACACCCGTTTTTGAGGTAAATACATTCTCTGAACGATTTTAAATTCATTGTGTAACCAAGTTTGTTATTATTCAAGTTTTAACCGTTATAATAACCATAAATACCTTTACCATCACCATTATTGTAATCTTAAGAGGATGTTAATTTCCAAATATCATACATATGTGAATGTGTAGCTTGAGAACAAATTTATTCGTTGGTGTCTCTTTGCAGAGTATCTTGTCTTTATTGTCATAAGGAGAACGCCTAATTCACCGATATTTGTCGAAGAATCAACACAAATGCTCAAGTGTTATCGAGATATATTGAAGCGTATTGGACTGTGAAGTCACCAACCATCATTCTGAAGAACTTTGAAAAGCTTCATTAAAATAAATTATACAGAAAGTATGTAAACGAAATTATGCTTGATTTGTAACCTCTCATGAACAGTTCGCACGAAGGCTCATGCATTTCCATAAACTTTTTGCTATGATTACGTTTTCCAACTGACAGTTCATATGTTGCTGACAGAAAAGACACATAAACATTTCTTTGCATAGCTGTCAGTGTGAGAGCAAGTAAAAGGAATTTAATTACACGCCTTTAATATCTTTCACTTGTTATTGCTTTCTACCTCCAAGTTTTATCACATTTGCCAGAGCAACAGGTCAGTGACGTCTATAACAAGTTTGAGAACCTTCACCTTGATATAGTTACCTGCCGAATGGATAATCTAGACTAGTCACTACAGAGTAATCAGTTTTCTGTTACCTAGTTATGAGGGGCAACTTAATTCTGTTAATCATTTTGAAGCATGCTCACTAACCTAAAAGGAACACCATCAAGATAGATTTTTTTGAAATTTAATTGACTGGAGGCAGTTGTCAGAAAACCGTGGACCTAGATTTCTTCTTGTGAACACTTGTCAACAAGATGTGTCTACCACCTTGAGGGAAATGAAGTTCTACTGTGAGATTCTAACCCGCGTCACTCTGTGTTGTAGCATCATTATTTCATTATTTCATTATTTCATAAGGTTTCTGCAACGATTTACTAACATCGCAATAACCTATGGAAACCAAATGACGTGAAACAGTTTTAACTTATTTGTATAGTAAATAACAGTTAAGGAAACTGAAAAACTTGATCAGTAGACTTCAATCAATACTAGGCATTAAGAACTAGACACATCGGTTAATTTGTGTTGATTTATTTGCGTATGTAATCAAAGTATACGAGGCATCAGTCTTGACCTGAATAGCAAAATGGTTAGGTCTCTGAATTCCTCACCGAGCAACAAAAGTTTCAATCACCCCTGGAACATTATTCTCATTATGCTTGCATACACACCTTGGTGATGTGTTAACAAGCACAGAACCACAGTTCAGGGCTACTTAGTGGTTAACCTTCAACATCTAACAAAACGTAGATACATTTTGACACCTAGTCCTAAAGCTTCAAACCCTTTAACAGACAATTAGCTGCTGAGCCAAATCTTCTGTGCTTATGGTTAAAAAAAATGTTCTTCATTAATTGCGAGACTTCTTGAGTTATATCATTTCCTAACAGAGATCAAGTTCAGACAGGTTAGCTTTCCGCGATTAGTAGCTTTAACGATTTTCATCAGTTTGCACTTAACTAATTTCAAGTCAACAGTAGTTTCATTTAGTTGTGACGAATAGCCATCGCCTTAGATTACTGTTACATTTCAAAAAGTTCATGTGAAAATCACATGTCTACTGATGAAAAAGAAGTAGAATTGTCTTTTGTGTGTAATATAATTTGTCAGACTGAAAATTTGCATTTCTATCCCGTTAGAAAAGAATTTGTTAAGAAAACTAAACATTGAAACTAATATTATGGATGGATAGTGGCTAGCAGTGGAATCTAGAACCCGTGTGCAAGTAACAACATTTCAACTAATATTTTACACCTTTTCAAGAAGAATACAACATGTAAACTGATACTGTTTTTCACATACAATTAATGTAAGTGTAACAAAACCTGAAGGTATGGCATCAAATGTTTGTAAGGGAGTGTAGTAAACATGGGCACTGCCAAGTGATTTATTTATCAGCATAGGGAAAAAACAAACAATTATCCCTTCATTTTTCCATCATGTCCACAATTTAGTGAAAATCGGACTATATGTTACTTTAAAACAGAAGTGAGCACATTAATTTTAGTCAAGTAGTTAAGTTATTTTGTGACTAAACTATACATAGAATATAATGTCACTATAAAGCTTCCTTCACTTATGTTCACTGCATCATCGTGAAGCAGAACAGCGCTAGCAGTATGCGGTTAGTTTATTGTAATTTATGATTTAGTTTTAACTAAAACCGAAAACAAATTAACGGAACAACTAGAAACAGATTTGTTGACTACATCACAAGCTATTTTTCGGTAGAGTAGCGGATGATATTACACGATTTCTAAATCCTCAGTTAGTTTCGTAACGTTTGTACATATTACCTACTTGTGGAATGCTGAATGCCATAAACAGATGAATTGCAGCTA